TGGTGGAAATCCACTCCTTTAATCAACTATATCCAAGTTAGTTCTCCACATAAGTATTTTTATTTACCTTTTTACCCTTGTATAAGTATTCATAATTTTTTAAATATAATTACATAACAAAGTTGTTAACGATTTTGTAATCAGGCCTATCCAGACATTATCCAAAAGTTGGTTGACATAATAGAAATTACATCCAACGCTAAATGACGCAAAGTATCTTACATACCACCTGTGGTGTTGAAGACAAGGAGCATGTTTACTAGGAGGAACAATTAATGTAGCTTTCATTTTGTGACATACATTTCATTTTTTGTTTGTATAGATGCTATGTATATTTTGATTACAACATTTTTGTATATTATTTAACTTGGCTATATGATTAATGTTATTTTCTTATATTCTTGTTACTCCTGTATATATGTGAAACATTTTAATATTATCGTCGTCCATTCATAAATGTTACCGAATGTTAAGTAGAACCATGATCACAAAATTAAATGTGGCTAAAGGGTAACAAATAGCCACACCAAGTAGATAAAATATGATGGTTTTACCAATAAAGTATCGCCAAAAACAATCAATGGTCACATTATTTTGATTATGATTTTTTTATGGACTAAATGATATCATACGTCATGATTTTACGTAAAAGAATGTAAGATGTAAAAAATAGCCACATCATTTAGAAACAATGTGTCGTTATAACTAATATACGACGGTGTTTTTAACAATTAAGTGTCGCCAGAAGCAACCAATGATCACATTCATTTCTTTATGAGTTTTCTTTATGTGGCTAAATGATATCATATGTCACATTATAACGTAAATAAATGTCACAAAAGGGTAACCAATAGCCACATGAGTTGGAAAAAGCTATACGTACTATTCAGCGATAGTTTTAACAAATATATATATGACAAAAAGCAAACAATGGTCACATATTTTTCGTTATGTTATTTGTTCATGTGACTAAATGATTTTATACATCACACTTTACCGTAAATAAAATGTCACTAAATGGTACCAAATGGCCACACCATTCAGAAAACAAGTGTTGATATAAGTAATATTCAACGATGCTTTTCATAATTATGTATCACTAATACCCAACCAATGGTCACATTATTTTTTTTTAAGTTTTGTTGATGTTACTAAATGATATCATACGTCACGATTGAACATAAATAAATGTGACTAAAGGGTAAACAATAGCCACATTACATATAAAATAACCACGGTTAACACCAACCGTCTCACGTTATATGTGACTAAAATGTATATTATAGCCACAATTTTAAATGATGAATTTCAATGTGGCCATAAGACACATATGGTGTCATGACATACGGTCACACTTTTGAAGAAAAAAATCAGTGTGATCGTAGGATACAATCTCATTTTTTGGCATTAAAAAAGTGTGACCGTAGGTCATTTTTATTGTAGTGTTGGCTTTGATGAACAAGTTACATTGAGCTTACTTGGGTTTCTTGAGTTGAAGCCCGAATTTTCATGACTAGACAAAGTAGGAATTCGTGAATCCCTAGAGACAATAGGAATGATTGATTTTGAAAGTTTGAAACAAGTGGAAGGATCGACAGAAGTGATTTCGAGTTTGGATATAGATGAGAATATTGGTCAATTTTGAAACGATGAGAGCGAGCGTAGGGGTTTTTTTCTGTTATGAACGACGATGATAGAAGTATGAATTGTGATTTTGATTTCTGTCGATCTGATAAAGGGGAGGAGAAATGCTTATTCGGGTCGGGTATTTAGAACCGAATAAAATCTTATTTGGGTAATCCGAACCGAATAACCCGAGAACTGAATAATCATAATATAGATACCCGAAAGCCGAATCAAATTGCTTATTCGGGCATAATTTGGTTCGGGTTTTGGTTCGGTCCGGATTTTCAGGTCAAATTCTCATCCCTAGTTTATATATATTTTATGCTTAGCTTTTAACAATCTTTATTAATTTATGTGGTATCCAAACGTAGTTAAGAAAAAGATGTTTGAATTAGTTTATTCTATCGAAACATAATAAGTTCATATTTTTTGTTGTATGTGTTTGTTTTTTTTTTTTTTGCCAAATCTTCTTATATATGTAATTAGTGTAATTAGGAAGTAACTTATTAATTTTTTTTATTTAAGTCGATTGGGAAGACTGAGATAAATTAAAAAATATTTCTTAAAATAAATAAGTGTTTTTAATATTCTTTAATTCAAACACATAAAATAACTTATTACTAGTGTCAAAATTTAATAAGTCAATAATAATTCTGAATAAATAATCACAAACACTCCATAAGTCTTAAATCCAAACTTATATCGGGAACAAAGTTAAAAGATTAGTGGTATTTTGTGAAAGTTAAAAGCCGATAAGATTATTGATAAATTGTGTATAAAAACAATTCATTATATATATATATAAGATATATATATAATATATATATATATTATATATATATATATATATATATATATATATATATATAGTAACTAGTTTATGACGCGTGGAACTGTCGTTAAATATTAATTAAATTTTCATAGTAAAAATTCATAATTATTAATAAATTATTTTAAATAAATTATAAATTAATAGATATATCAAATTTTAAAGTTAGTTATAACTTCAAATTTAACATATAATTACAAAAAATAAATGTTTTTATAAAAAGTTTAAAATCTATTATTTAAAACCTTAACGTCATTAATTGTGATAGTGATTTGCCTAATACATTTCCCTAACACATGAGATAATATTAATTGTGAATTGTATTAGAATGACATGTGACGAAAAGAGATTAAAACTATTCTTTTATTAATATAGAGACTTTATTCCCTTAAGTCATTATAATTTTATCCACTACTAATGTTTACTTAATCTTTGTGTGCAGAGTTTACAAGTTTATCCTTATAGAAATAAATATTTAAGAAGTTAATTAATAAGATAGTCACGTTGAATCATGAAGTCTCCCCGAATGACCTTTTTTGTCCCTTCATAAACTAACCTTGGGTGATATTGCTAGTGCATAGCTTAGATGCAGAGCAAAGCCATAGGGGAAAGTTGCTACTGTAATTTGTACGACATGACAAAAATACACGATACGAAATGAAATTGGAACGAAATCGAAATTTGAATTCGTGTTCGTGTCGTGTTTATGTCAAGTGTAAAAAACACGACTTTGTTGTGTGTTTGTGTTTAAATTTCAACACGATTTAGCACGTTGCCATGTTTTCGTGTTTGCCGAGCTTTTCGTGTTATATGTGATTAAATATGAATTAAAAAACTATTATTTATATTATTTTTTGTTTATCGTGTTGTGTCGTGTTTTAATCGGCTCATTTTCTTGTTAATGAAAATAAACACGACATCGTGTCGTGTCATGTGCGTGCTACATAAAATATTGTCGTGTGAGACAAAAACACGCCTGAAAGAGTCGCCGGAAGCAGGTGTACAGAGATAAAGGTCTCTATTATAGTTGAATCGTGTAATGGAAACAAATCAATAATTGATTGAGCGTTTAAAAATAAATACGCAATTAATGCATCCATTACAGAATTCAAAAATGGAGGGTAGGACCCCCTACACGCGGGTAGTAATTATAGTAAAACCATAGACACAAGCTTGTAAGCTTTTCATGCATTCAAACATATAAACCTTGTTGAGTTTGGTCTTTTTACCAATGTGGGACTCATTCCCACATCCATCTCTTTTTGCTAAATTTGTTCTCAAATACCATTCTTTGAGTATCGATATCTCATTCACATATACTCCATTTTGGACATATAGTATATCGTTTCGAAGTCCTCGTGGATGAGAACACAAACTCACTTAGAGTTAGTTATATATACAACATATGTATATATTTATATATGTCCAAAGTTAGTAAAAATACAAATATTTATACTAAAATTTCCAACACTAAGTGCAAAGCTTCGACTAATGCCACTTGACGAAGTTGAGTATTTCTTCTAGGCCAAGCTTATTGGGTCGAAGTCTCTAGGTGAAAATGCTAGGCGAAGCTTGGAAGCAGCTGGCTGCGGTGCATAGGACATTAGCCTAACGTCATGAGTCAGTTTTATCAATGTTATTTTCTAGGTTTGTCCTCATTCATAGATTTAGGTCAAGTACTCAAGTTGAATAAATATAACACTACAAAAAGAAAAAAAAAAGCAACAACAGCGTCAATTGTTGCCGCTAATAGATCCAAGCGTCGACGCTAAAGGTAACAGTTGTGACTTGTCGCTGCTAAAACTTCGTCGTTATTTCTCAAGTTGTTGACACTAATGAAATCACTATCAACAAAATCGTTATTTTTAGCTCATTGGTAGATATAACTCAATTTCAAATAAACCACATTGTGTTTTTACTTTTTGCATCTCTTTTATATCGGATTTAATTATAGGTGTTTATCGAAATCCTTAAAATAACAAGTCCAACATATTTGTTAAATATTTATCAAATTACCGTAAAAAGTAAAAACCTCTCAAATACAAATATTTAACCACCAAAAAAGAAAATCTTAGGCTCCTGACATTAAGTGTGTAAGGAGTGAATATTAACGATGTTGTCTACAGCCGACGTGTGTTTAGTGTCAATCTTCTAATCAATTTTCCTCCTCCCCTGTAGTACTTGTCCTTTCTTCCTCGGCTATTGACATGAAAACACTGTGTTGATAGATGCATCCATCAGACTCACCCACCTGACAACCTCCTTTTTCCATCTTCTCACTTCTACTCCTGTATGTTTACTTCTGTCCAGGTGGTCCTATATAATCACAAATGCATCAAAGAAGACGACGGAAAATAGAGGAAACCCTAACCCTTTGTCTTCATTTCCTCTTCAATCCTTCGCTATCACTACTACAACTTCTCTTTATATAATCTCCACTGAATTTGAGATCATCAAACACTTGAACCACACTCCCTCCCCGGCCCCCTTAGAACAACCTTAACTTTCCTATTACATTAACTGCTTCTAAAACCTTAACTTTCCTATGGAAGTTTTTGATCACACCCATTATGTCACCACCTTTCCGTTTTCTTATCCTTTCGCCACTACTACCACCTTCACCACCAATCCTCCATGGATGGACAGCAGGATATGGAGTAGACTCCCCGAAAGACTTGTTGATCGAGTCATCGCCTTCTTGCCACCACCTGCGTTCTTCAGAGCTCGATCTGTATGCAAGAGATGGTACTCTCTCTTATTCTCTCACAGCTTCCTTCAAATGTATCTTCAGATCAACCCAAAACCCTACTTTTTCATCTTCTTCAAACAAAAAACCACTCATCCTAAAACCACCACCACCACCACCACCATCTTTAAAACCACTAACACCACCGCTGCCGATAACGTTGTCCCTCAGGAAGGTTACATCTTTGATCCCGAAACTCTTTCGTGGCACCGTCTCGTTTTCCCATTAATCCCACATGGGTTTTCTCCCACGTTTCCTCTGGTGGACTCATCTGTTGGGTGTCTGATGAAGCAGGTTCGAAAGGCCTGCTCCTTTCAAACCCCCTCTTCTCATCTCTAGTGACTCCACTTCCTTCTACCTTGAGGCCTAGGCTTTTTCCTTCTGTAGGGTTAACCATAACAAACACTTCAATAGATGTTATGGTAGCGGGGGACGATATGATATCTCCTTACGCCGTCAAGAATTTGAGTACTGAAAGCTTCCACGTAGACCTGGGTGGTTTTTATTCCATCTGGGGCACCACTTCTTCTCTTCCAAGACTATGCAGCCTGGAGTCTGGCAGGATGGTGTACGTCCAGCAACAAGGAGGTTCAGCAGGTAAATTCTACTGCATGAACTACAGTCCTTTCAGTGTGTTGGGTTACGATATGGGACGAAATGAATGGTGTAAGATCCAGGCTCCTATGAGGAGGTTTCTGAGATCCCCGAGTCTGATTGAGAGCAGAGGGAAGCTGGTGTTGCTAGCGGCGGTGGAGAAGAGCAAGCTTAATGTGCCGAGGAGTCTGCGAATGTGGGCACTGCAGAGTTGCGGGACAACATGGGTTGAGATAGAAAGGATGCCGCAGCAGCTGTATGCTCAGTTTGCGGAGTTGGAAGGAGGTAGAGGGTTCACTTGTGTTGGAAACGGGGAGTTTCTGGTGGTGATGATTATGGGAACGGCAGCGGATCAGAAGGCGTTATTGTTTGATTTTGGGAGGAAGAGGTGGGTTTGGATTCCTCCGTTCCCTTTTGTTAGCGGCGGCGGTGGAGGCGTCGAGTTGAATGGCTTTGTGTACGAGCCTAGACTTGTTACGCCTGTGACTGGACTTCTTGATCAGCTGACTACCCTTAATCCCTTTTAGCTTCCTTTTTCTATCTGTAGCGGCTAGTTTCCTTTTTAGGGTTAATTATGTGGAATGAATCTAGCTAGTGACGAATCAACAATGCACTGTCTAAAAATATTTAACGTATGTTATATTAATTAATCCGTCCATGTATTCTTAGATAATATGTATCCTAAGAGAATATGTTTCCCTCTATTTTATAGAAGGCATATTCTTTCCAAACTCGTTTATCTGTGATTTTCAAGAATGTGCATATGATTTACCCATAAATCTCATATTATTTAATAATATTTATCATAACATGTTGTATAAAGTTTTGAGGAACTTATACGTTTAATTGGAGGGTTTTTTTTATAAACGATTTAAAATGTTAATTTGGATATTTAATTGTTTGATATTTTATTACTTAAATTGAATTAGTGGCCTAAAAAAATGTAGTATTTTCAATTTCTCTATCTTAATTAAATCTTCCCGCAGGCTTTTTTTTATAGGGAGAGAGTCGGGGGCAGTACGGAAGATTGGTTCGTAAAGGATAATTATATAGAACATGCAATCCCATGTTAGTATCATGATCATATAACCTAAGATTACAACCCTTTATTTTATTTAATCTAATGTATTAGAATTAGTCATACATTCATACAATAATTGTAATTCACATTTGATCATATCTCTCTCTCTCTCTCTCTCTC